TGAATGGAACTGCAGTTTTTGCTTTTTAGTCTCTGCATGACTCTTCAAGTCCTGTATTTTCGCTTTAATTTCCCACTTGCAGTAATTACAACGAGCCTTGGTCATATGCCCAGGAAATGCCATCACCCGGTCTTTAATTTTGTCATCATGTAACCACTCTTTCCGACTTTTTTGCTTATTCTTTACTTTTGGCATGTTGAAAGGTTTTTTTCAAAGTGAATGCCACATAAGAAGGTGAGCAATAATTTTTTTTTAAAATCACATGAAAAAGAAACGCAAAGTCAGCACAGTGAGGATACGGTTGAAACAAAGTTAGTATGATTTACGCGCTCTTTTAATTAATCAGTACCGCTGCTGCCAGATATTTGAGAGTTGACCCCAGTGAGAGTTCGAAGTTAAAGTGATCGCAATTGCCACAATGTACGTGCCAGAATAAAAAAAATATATTGTTGTAAGTATTTTACACAGTAATTATTAAACTGGCACTGAAAGAAAAAAATCTATAAAATATCCAACTCCAAATAAAAAAACTTCTAGACAAACATCTACCATCTAAACGTCAAAACACCATCTAAATGCAGGGAGGACATCTAAATCTGGATGTAAAACATCCAAAGTGGCAATACTGCAACTGACACAGTCGGCTCTCTTCTCTTCCCTTGCTCGGTTCAAAATTTAGCGCTTTCCGGTGTCAACCTTAGTTAGCGCCTCGATCAATTAAATCAATTAAGTGCTTGCTCCACAATCTAGGCAATTTTCGGCACCGATAAAAATAAAACATCCAGGGAGCACATGCTCCTTATAGATATTCTAGCAACTAGAGACCAATGGATCTTAACCTTGTTCAAATGTGCTGTAATAATAAGTATATTACAGTAAAACCCATCTGACACAAACTCGCTTAAGGCGAATACCATGTCAACGTGAACAACATGTTGGTGCCAGCACAGATTTACATGTATTATTACATCAATTAGCCATAGCATGAACAAATTATTGGAGCCAGCACAGATGTACGTGTATTATTACATCAATTAGCCATAGCATGGACAAATTATTTGAGCCAGCACAGATGTATATGTATTATCACATCGGTTAGTCACCGCATGAACAAATTATTGATGCTAGCACAGATTTACATTTATTATAACATCGATTCGTCACAAAATATACCAAATTTGGCTCCCACAAGAGATGCACATGTATTTTTACATCGATTAGTCCCAAGTTTAGCTTAAATTTGATAACATCCATTAGTCTTACGTTAGCATTAGTTCGTTAACATCAATTAGTACCCTGCTAGTAATAACAATGTGTCCCAATGGGGGACGCAAATTGTTGTTGTTTTAAAGCCCTACACTGGCTGTTGCCGGGGGCCCTAATATAACCCAAACTATTGGTTGAACGGGGTTTCTATGACCTGTCCCCGTGTGATCCTCGTCTCATCCAGTGGTGGCACTTTGCGTCACCAGATATTTATTGTTGGGTGTGATGTCCTGGTGGTGTTGAACGCTACTATTATCATTCCCAGACAGCATCAATTTAAAACATCGATTAGTTCCATGTTAAAAAAAGGTAAAGTCGGGAGATGTGAACTAGCGTCATTGCACACGGTTATAAACCATAAGTGCTCTGCCACCAGTACGGACAGCTGATAAGAAACTGCCCGTCTGTGTCGCCTCCACACGTAACTCAGTAGCTATAGCGACGTTCCTCCATTCACCCCAGAGTTTCAACTCTGGTACCCATTTCCTTAAGGTTGAGTGAACCCCGGGGACCGAACACCGACCGTGGTTGCAGCGAATCGCAGCTGGATTTGAAAGCGAGCCTCCTATCGACTGCGGTAACGCGGCTGTCAGTCCCAGGTAAACATTGATTAGTCCCAGGTTAACTTTGATTAGTCTTGGGTTAACATCGACTAGTTCCAGGTTAACATCGATTAGTCCCATGTTAACATTGATGAGTGCCCGGTTAACAGCTGGCGAGAATCAACAGGATGATGCATGGAAATAACAGCTATCATCATCACTATGCGGACTAGGCTGGCAGATAACAACCAATCTCTGGCGTTAACAAAATTACGTCACCTCAGAATGTGTGGTGCCTCTTAGAGGTCAGAACGGGAAACGTTACAGAATTCTCAAGGAATAAATAGAGGTTTCTTTTTGATATATGTTGTGTCGGAGGACTGAGAGCTCAAAGTGCAGTGACGTCGTTTGTGAAAACATTCTGTTGTATCTGAGGACTGAGAGCTTAAAGTGCAGTGAAGTTTGTGGCTCGGGTGTTGCGAACGAGCTTCGTAGTGCCGGGTTCGATCACAGCTGCGGGCCTTGCGCCTTTCGTTGGTTTCGACAGTGGCATCGAGAAGCCGACCGCCCAGAAGCAATGGCAAACTACTGGACGCAAATTTGCCTAGAAAAACCACAACAGCCAAAAAAATGCTGGGGCTGGTTCTGCAACGTCCTATAAAGGATGCGCAACTAACTAGTAGTAATAGTAGTAGGAGCAGAAGCAGCAGTAGTAGCAGCAGTAGTAGTAACATTTAGCGGCAGTAGTAGATATAGCAGCAGCAGCCCTAGTAGCAGCAACAGCAGTAATAGCAGCAGCAGCAATAGAAGTAATAGTAGTAGTAGCCGCAGCAGCAGTAGCAGCAGTAGTAGTAGCAGCAGAAGCAGCAGTAGCAGTAATAGTAACAGCAGAAGCAGCAGTAGTAGCAGCAATAGTAGTAGCTGTAGCAGCCCTAGCAGCAGCAGCAGTGGTAGTACCAGCAGTAATAGTAACATTAATGACAGTAGTAGTAGTAGTAGTAGTAGTAGTAGTAGTAGTAGTAGTAGTAGTAGTAGTAGTAGTTGTTGTAGTAGTAGTAGTAGTAGTAGTAGTAGTAGTAGTAGTAGTAGTAGTAGTAGTAGTAGTAGTAGTAGTAGTAGTAGTAGTAGTAGTAGTAGTAGTAGTAGTAGTAGTAGTAGTAGTAGTAGTAGTAGTAACAGCAGCAGTAATGTATACGCTGTTTATATCCTAACTATAGCTTTAGAAGAGCAAAAAACACAGAAACAACAAAAGGCTTTTAGCGAGTTTTACATTTTAATTCATGTCACATATACAGTATCTGTGATTGCAACAATAATCATAAATTAATACAGGTAGGACTAGAGTCTATGTTTACGATACGAGGTAAGGAAATGAATCAAGCATACAACTGCAAAGTTCTAGTCCGGATCATATTTAAACATTTGTTATCCTCTTTCTAAAGTAATTGACGCGTTTTTCCAAATGGATTTGCATAAATATTGTTAACAACGAATAATTTTTTTACAATGACATTGCCATTTTGGAGTTTCAGGCCACAGTCGGAAAGGTGTGATCGCGACCATTGGTCGACACGCCTTAAGATCAATCCACCAAAGCCTGTCAGGTTATCACAATCAGCCTCATCGCACACAGAGAATTCCCATGTATGACGGTCCTTCGATGCTGCTCTACAGGTACCTCTACTGATTGTCCCAATACTGTCATATGTTGACGGGATTCACCAGGCCTTATTCCTAGATCACCTACATAATCGGGCTGGCGCTTGTCTCGTAATTGTCCACGACCAGCCCCAGTGTTGTTGATATCAGTTCTGTGTAGACTGATGCTCACTTCCGATGGTGTGTTACTTCCCAGTGGACCGCTTGCTCCCGACCCTTTACTCCGGCATGCCTAAGTGTGAAAATCAGGATTAGAGTGGTTAAGTTGGACTAACCATTGCTGTCTACACATTCAGTACATCCCTCTAGTGATAACATGGTTCCGCATAGTTTTGGCGTCAAAGTCTGATGGCTTGTGGACGTACAACGTGATCAAGTGTTTAAAGGCTTGTTGGCAAAGAGAACAACTGTCAGATGGCTTGTTCACGTACAAAGAGATGAGAAGAGACACCACAGTGGTGTGTATGCGATACATCCTTGGTTTGCCGACTGTTGCAGGTAGGCACTAGGGGCTGCAGGCGAAGTCATATCTCAGGGTAGCTGCTGACACAAACCACCCTTTTCACAAAGCTCTGGGTGCAGTTAAGGGTCAGCGGCTGATAAGAGGGAAGTTTTGGATGGCTCAGGCAGAAGACACAATCAGACAGGTTTGCATCCTTGAGAACATTAGGCGAGGAGAGGAGTGGGTCAAATTGCCACTTGAACAGTCAGACTTGTGTAGGGTCATAATCACACTGAGCCGGAAATGCAGAGATTGGCCTGAAGGTGCCACGGAGGTGGAAAGTCAGCAATTAATTCAAGTTAATGCTCTCTCAGAGGATTTGATCATTTACACAGACTTTTCAGAGTCAAGACGCAAAAGAAGTGCATGGGGCTTCAAAGCTAATGGACGCTGCGGAGGACACGGGTGAGACGTATTGTCTGGATTTTTTTCACCGGATGGGAAATTAACAGACGGACAGACTGGCTGGCACTGCACAACTTGGTGGAATATTGACGCATGATAAGGCAGACCTTGTGGGAGAGCGTGTATAGTTCGGAGGAGCAGATGGATCACCACAGTCTGGTGCGACTGATGCAGATGGGATTGGCGAAAAGTTCTTGCAGATGCTCGAGGCTCAGAGGAAAGGCACGACGGACGTTTAATCAGAATACTACTGGCACCATTAGTTTTGAAACTCTTCGCTGGCTGCTAAAGATGGGGACAAAGCGCTTATGAGAATGCTCTGAGTGCTGTGGTGTCGGTTCTTGAATCAAATCAAATCAATCATTCAGAGATCGAATGCTAGATGGCTTGTTGACGTACAAAGAGATCAACTGTTGGATGGCTAGTTCACGTCGCAAAACTCAAGAGAACACTAATAGTATCTCAGACTAATTATGATGCGAGATGATCGCCCATTTTCGGCAGGGCACATGATGATGGTATAAGATGCTGGCCCACATTTATCGACTGGTCACATGATGAGCGTAAGTACAATATTATCACATATTATATAATTTTTGCAATTCTTAGACCCAAAAAAGCCCATTTTAGGCTAGGTCAAACTGGACTTGCAAGCATGTAACTAGACTTCCGTTGTAAGTTGCCACAATTCTAGCCCTGACGCCCCCGGAGATAGCGATGGGAAGATTTTGGGTGACATTGACCGCAACAGGTGGAACGTTCCAAGAGCCCTGCAAGTTTTCAAACATGGGTATTTTAAATCAACTGGTTGAAGTTCAGTGTTACACAAAGTGAAGCATACAACATTCATTCAACGGTACTAGCCTGCATTCATGAGAGGGAGTGAAGCATACAACATTCATTCAATGGTACTAGCCTGCATTCATGGGAGGGATAACAGCATAGAATAGCGAGACCAACTATTCGGCCGAATACGAACACGAATAAGAATAGTGTAACATCATCATCAGGTGCCTTACCGACTGGCATGGGCGAATATGCCTCGCCACAGTCTGCGATCTCCTGAAGCATGTATTAGTTCGTGTGCTGCCACACCTCCATGCCATGCAACAAGACTGTCAAGAATCTTTTCTCATTGTCTTCTTCTATCCCTCCTTCCATAGATCTTTCCAGTGGTCACCACATGTTCCATTTTCCCTCTTCTCATAACATGGCCGAAAAATGATGACTGTCTCCTTCCGATGTCTGTGATTAGTTGTCTTCGGGCTCCCGCAACTTTCAAGACCTCTTGGTCGCTTTTTTTTTTGGACTGTCCAGGGTATTTTAAGCACGAGGCATCACAACTAGTGTTCGTAGATATTACTATTACACATAAGACCAGGGTCGACACCACACAACTAGTGTTTGTGGTTAGTACTACAACACACAAGACTAGCCACGATGCCACACAACTAGTATTTGTGGTTATTACTACAACACACAAGACTAGCCACGATGCCACACAACTAGTGTTTGTGGTTAATACTATTACACATAAGACCAAGGTCGACATCACGCAACTAGTGTTCGTGGCTATTACTGTTACACATAAGACGAGACACGATGCCACAAAAAATAAGTGGTGGGGTGGGGGGATTGGAAGATGTCACTAAGTTCACTTATACCTGTCTAGGAGTGACGAGAGGGGCTCAAGTTGCCTACTCCTTGTTTAAGCGTTGAGTAATACTAATAATTATAATTTTTCTGTGCTGAATGGCAAACACATATAATAATATATTTGACATAATTTAAAATGGATAAACAAACATTTAATAAGATAATGTAATTGGACGGCTGTGAGTGCCACTTGGCACACTCACACATTTTCTGACACGGGTGTTCAAGCCCTACATTTACTAGACAAGCTCAGCCTCGCATCCAAAATTGGAGGTTGGGGGGGGGGGGTAGAGGGGCTTCCCAAAGTGCCAATATAAAATAGACCGTGAGCCCCTACATAAGACTAGGCTCTAGTTAGGGGCCAGAATATCCGACCTCAACTATTGGTTCCATAATTGCTCTACTCCTCACCAGAATATAAATCTATACATATATCCTCTAGCACAGAGGTCTTCAAACCTTCTCAGTTGATATTATACTTGGAACGCCCTCTATCAAAGAGCGGCAGACGACACCGACATCATCATCATTATCACTGTCATCATCATCATCATCCTCTTCTTCTCTCTGTTATCCAGCAATGGAGGACAGACCCTCAACCTCAAGTTACCTTCAAGCGTTTGTAGACTCCTTCTTACTTGACCAGCTTCTGGTCTGGAGTAACCAAAATCAGATTCACACCATACCCTGAGTAGCGTCTTTCGACATTTGTCCTAGGTGGTGAAATGTTACTATTTATGATATCCTAAAGAGACCAGTAGCACCTAGATATCATCTTTGTCGTCATCGTTTTTGTGCCACTGACATCCCCCAACCCCAGATACACACCCATTTGTAAGAGGCTAGGAGGGGGCGGCGGGTGATAGATATGAGGATTCCCACAATTAGAGCCACACACGCCCTGTCCTATTGGCCCACTCTACTTTGTTAGAGTATAACAAACAAGTGAACATTGATACACTCACGGCGGTAAATGGACATTTGCAGTTGAGTCCAATCTTGACCAGTTCCGGCGGACACGTTGCTGGGTTGACAACTGTGCAAAAATCATCATAAGTGCATGATCCAAACTGATCTATGCATGGGGCTTTTACCCAAACACCGAACACCTCTTTCCATACATCCAGTTGGGCCTGTAGAAACAGAGATATCACAATGTGTTGGTCACACAAACTTTAATATGTTCATACATCCAGCTGGACCTGTAGAAACAGAGATATCACAATGTGTTGGTCACACAAACTTTAATATGTTCATACATCCAGCTGGACCTGTAGAGACAGAGATATCACAATGTGTCTGCCACATAGACTTTGATATAAACACAGTTTATGTGTTCACAGGCTCTTATCCTTCTTCTTCTTGTGGTAGTCTTTAGTAAAAAAAAAAAAAAAAACGGCTGCAGCTTCAGTTGGAACTGTGTGCAGTTTATCAGGAATGTGTCCCATGTAATTGGTATTCGTGATGCGACTTTTTGAGTCACGTGAGCGTCACTACTTCAGGTATCAGCTCAGATGTGAAAAACAGCCAATCAGTAAATTATAAAGTAAAGATAACCATATCAGATAATTTGAATTTGATCACTCGTTATTCAGTGCCCCTTGTGTACTGACACAGTGTGAGAGCAATGTAGAAGAAATGTGGGTCGTTGAGCCCAGGGATTTGAGACTGGGTGACTCGTATAGTGGAAGGTTAGAATTTCTATTTTTGTCCCCAACAACAACAACAAAAAACAATTTCTTATTTGTTACCGAGGATTCAAACCTGACTGCCGAATGAAACCCCATCATTCTAACAGCTACCCCAACCCCGTCTTGATTCAACGTAAATGATAAGACATTCGCCTCTAACTGCTTCAGATCTGGTCATTTGTATGGTTTAGACGTTGATTTTATGATTAATAAAATACGACAATGGTATGCATAATCCATGGAACAGGGAATCGAACCTCGGCCTTCTTGAATGAGAACCACAACTAGAAGGACTCGTTCGCACAATGCCACACGTTAATAATTCTTCGACAGCTGGCTATCGAAAAGATTAGAACCATAAATCTATACAATGCTACATTTTTTAATGAGAAAAAAAAAAGATCTGAATATCAAGGAAAACTGGCTCGTAAACAGAATCTTGTCTCAGAAACAGAAATACCTTAGCTATTTCAAACACTACGATGGACTGGGAAAAAACAACAGAGAGGCACAAGGGACAAAATAAGAGTGACAGGGGCTGACCAGCATAAAGATGGTTGCACGACATAAGTAGCACCTTGGGTAAGAAAGTGTAAGTGGCGGGAGAGCTGGCTAGCAATCGAGTTTCTTTCATGGAGGACTGTAAATGCAGCCACGTTATGTGAAGGTCCCACTTGACGACGATGAGCCATGATGACCCACACAAAAACAATATTTGTTTAATGTGAGGCAGTAGTGTACGTGAATTTTGACCAGTCCTAACACCCCTCTGCTAATTGGCATATAGCTACCAACTAACCCTCTCTGTCAATGGTCCACGCAAATGGTATAATCTAGGTTATAAGAAGTTCTACAAACACTGAGTTACTAGAAAGAGCAGGTACTACAACAGTCTTTTCCGTGCTCAGTCTTCGAAGGCTCAGGTGGCTGGGTCACACCTGGAGATTAGAGGATGGCAGAGTCCCTAAGGACATCCGTTATGGCGAATTAAAGACTGGAAGAAGATGTCTATGCCGACCTCTACCACAGTACAAAGATGTGTGCAAGCGGGACATGAATGATACAGGTATTTAGGTGGACACATGGGAACAAAAAGTCATGGACCGTGTTGTGTGGAAAGGGCGTATCAGAAAGGGAATGAGAGTGAAGGAAGAAATGATTGCAGAACGGATGAGAGCAGAGCGTCTGAAAAGAAACGGAGTAAACACAACAAATGTTGACAACAATTGTCCTGAAATCCCATGTTATCATTGTGGAAGACTTTCTTGACACGGGCGGGTCTTGCTAGTCACACTCGCCATCGCCATGGCCGGTGAGTCTCATTACTCCTCATAGCGCAATATAACACTATCGTCTGGGAAGACGGAAAAGTGCCACTCAAACAAGAAGTTTCTTTCACCGCCTAGAGCTAAAAGAGTACTGTAAGTACATGGTAATGTGTCATCGTCGGCAGAAAGATACCTGTTCAACCTCAAAACCACTTCCATTAAGTTATTATGAGGCTTTACTCAAGGATGATTTAGTTTTGTTAGCAGGGAAGCCCCTACTCAAAACCCAATGACTGTCATAAGTGGCATAGTAAAACTTTCCCGCGCATCCTCCTTCTAAGAATCTCCGCTTAAAATATACCTACAGGCTTCAATGAGGTATCATTGGATTAGTAATTTTAATCTCTATCCATCACGGTTTCATAAGTAAGAACCCAAAATTTAAACTTTCACTAGCATCAGAACTATATAGAATAGGTCAGTTGATCTGGATTCCATCTGAGCTTAGATGTTGCCAGTGAATTTTTGGGAGACGCAAAGCTTTACCAGCTTTTCATCTGTCGGAGTGTACTTTTGACAGTGTTTTACAGATACTGTTCTACCTATCAACTGAGAAACCAACAAAAATCATACTGGGACCTGAAAGTGAGATAGCGTGTTGTACCACACATGATACCTCAACAAATCTTTACCCATCATCATCATCATCATCAATGTCCCACATCCGCACTGACACCCAGCAACTATAACGACTGTGCTTTATATTCTTTATATATGCACGGTAATAACCCGTAAGAACTCATTGTTTCTTCTAACTGAAGTCTGAGTTCCAAGAAGCTCAGCACAGGCTCTGCAGCACTAGCCAGGATTCTCAAATGCTTTGGGTAGATTTTTAACTCCAAATTTTGCCCGGCAAGCGCCGTTAGGCTACTCTTTTCCATGTTTAACTGCCAAGGGATTTTTTTACGTGCGCAACAATGCACACGGGCGTCCGATATCACTACCCAGAGACCAGATGGAATTACTAAAAGTACAAGTCCACGTAAAACAAATTCCATCACTTACCGGGGATTGAACCGGAAGCTCTAGCACTCGAGGCAGACACCACGCTTCGATACCGCGCAGCCCCCCCCCCCCCCCTTTGTAGTGAGTTTCATTTTCTCCCAGTTAATTTATGCCCGACAGATGACGTCAGTAATAAATGTGAGTGGAATTTTGACTCTAACTGGGACGGTTCGGGAATTGTTGAGTCTAACTTCACGGGAGTTATAGAAAAAGGCTGATAGTCAAACTTTGTGTGAAGCATAATAATTCACGTGAAGAGAAATGTTGACTGTCGAACTTCATGCGAAGTGCAATTAATCACGTGCCACGCACCACTTCCAGCCAAATGGAATTCGTGAGACAGAAGGGACACGGAGTATTCGGGAAAAACGAAGCGGGGATTAGAAGGCTTTATAATAGCGTACAAAGGGCTGAGGGGCAGTCTCGTTTTTGCCCAGGCACAGAGTGCATGAACAACGATGGAAAATGTGTGGATTCAACATGTGTTGAGTGAATTTGTTCCAGTCCAACTTGGCAAAAAAGCTGGCAGGCAATATGTCTGCGGGCATGTTAGTTTTTCTGTCAGGACAGCTGTTGTGTTTTCGTTCATTATGATAGTGTAGGACGATTGTGATTTCGGACAGAAGGTAATAATTGATACTTCTGATATTTGAGTTATAATGTGTGCCTGGACAGTAGTCTATTTCATGTGCCGGCTGCGTAAGCCGCGAGTAGAAGATTAAAGTATCGTGTTGTTTTTCCAGTCGTCCATTTTCTGCTCGTCGTGTGATGTCGGTATGTGAGATAGCAAGCGTGCGATGATGCGAGCCAGATAGAAGATAAAAGAAAGTCATCGCACCCATATATTTTCTGATAGTTACTGCGGAGATGTTAGCAGTGTTGGGCATTGTGCTGACCTGAAAATCAACTAAATTGGATGTTCTAAATTTAGCGTCTGCAGGCTATAACACAGGTTCTTGTGTATTATATTTTAAAGGCGATTCGATTTCTACACAGACCACTGTTACATGAGATCAATTCATTTCACACTACATGAAACATGCCTTCGACATTAAACTATGTCTTTTTTATTTTTTCACATACAGATCTACAGGGCAAATAAAAGTGTCATCTGTCACTAGCTGAAGCCTTTGTCCAGTCCTGGATCATCTGAAGAACTCCTGGATGCCTGTTAAATTGTGTTCAAGTACTTCTACATCTGTAGAGATTGAGTGAACATCTACTTTATGGTGTTGAGGAAGACGGATTCAAGTCATCACTGGAACCAGTGCAGAAGAATCTATCTTGAGTAATCCCATGTTACAGCCATCAGGAACATTGGTGCAAGATGCTTTTATCTTCCAGCTACATACTCAGCAGGCTAGAGTCAATATCACAACGGACAGTGGAAATCCCAGTGAATACTTAATTTTCAGAGACTCATATTGTCTTTCTGTTTGTGTGTCCTTTCTTCCATCAGCTCTTAGAGCTCTGTTCCTTATGTGTTAACATTACATGATTGATTTTATAAACTTGAACATGAGCTAGTTGTCTTTTCATTTTAAGGTTCTAGTCAGTTTAAGTCAGATTATTCATATATATGTATATTCTGTACAAAGGTTGAACTGTATATTGTGAAATCAGTTGTTGGGTCGCGAACTTTGGACTGTCCCTGCAGGGGGCACTGGCTTGCAAGCGATTGTGTGAATCAATAAACATCGACGTTAGCATCAGCTGTGTGTTCGCATTATTCGTGTTTCGACATGTTGAAGTGTAAGTCGGTGTGCACCTGAGAAGTCTGCAGATGACTGAAGCCAAGAGAGTGAAAGAATGAGAGTCATTGTACGTCTTATCTTCTTACCTTGACTGGGGAGCCGAATGGTGACTTGGCAGCTACGGTACCTGAAGCCACGATGACCCCAGGGATGTGAATCGGGTCCGGGTTGATGCTCAAATTCCCAAAGACAACTATTTCTGTATTGGGATCGGCACAGTTTGTATAGGAGAATGACCGCAGCTTCACCGGAAATGCCTTAAAGAATAAAAAAATTCGTGGTCAGCGGCTGATCCTAAGTACATTTGCAGGGCTGTTGTTTGTCAGTTAACAATATGCCAAAAGCACACATTCTTACTATAACACTGGTAGATGACCGCATTTACCTTATGTGCTCTGCTTCTATCTCTATTAGGGGCCTACCTGTAGTCTGCTTCTATCTCTCCTTGGAGTCTGCCGTCTTCAGTAAATATGCTTGCTACATATTTGAATGCTCATACTTGTTTTACTGAAGTATCGTTAACAAGAACGTTCATATTGTTATGTTTCCTACCTATTCTCATTCTGTTTTCGCGGTGTTTATTCTTATGTTATATATTTATAAATATAAGCAGTCCAAATGTCAATTATGTTCTTGGTGGTTTATTACACACTGATCATAAGCGCGCGCACACACACACACACAAGCAAAGCAGTTAACTTATTTCAGTGTCAGTATAAGCTTTTACTTGATCACAGTGTCTGTATATGCTTCCATTAGATCAGTGTCAGTATAAGCTTTTACTTGATCACTGTCTCTGTATATGCTTTCATTAGATCAGTGTCTGTATAAGCTTTTACTTGATCACAGTGTCTGTATATGCTTCCATTAGATCAGTGTCAGTATAAGCTTTTACTTGATCACTGTCTCTGTATATGCTTTCATTAGATCAGTGTCTGTATAAGGTTTTATTTGATCACAGTGTCTGTATATGCTTCATTTGATCAGTGTCAGTATAAGCTTTTACTTGATCACAGTGTCTGTATATGCTTTCATTAGATCAGTGTCTGTATAAGCTTTTACTTGATCACAGTGTCTGTATATGCTTTCATTAGATCAGTGTCTGTATAAGGTTTTATTTGATCACTGTGTCTGTATATGCTTTCATTTGATCACAGTGTACAGACCCCACATTTTTCAAACAAAGATTTAACAGCAATGGGTGTGTACTTGACAGTAGATCACTGGTTCCGGAAGCCTACTTTGGAGGGAAAAAAAGGTGGGGGGGGGGGGGGGGGGGAAATACCCACTATCAATTACAAAGCATGTCGTACATTTGCTTATAAAACGTATGTGCGCACACAACAATCAATATATACCTTACGTCCATTTCAGGACGTATTTTTTTTTGTTTTGTTATTTGAAGCCCCACTCTGGCTTTTGCCAGGGGCCGCAATATAGGCAGGCCATAAATGTGGCCAATTGTCTGAACGCGGTTTCTGGGACCTCTCCAATGTTATCCTCATCCACATGGTGGCACTTTGTGTCATCGGGTGTTTGTCGCTTGTGTGATGTCCTGGTGGGGTAGAAAGTCAGTCAGTCAGACAACACTCAATTTCTGGAACAAGACCGAAGTCCTGAAGTGAGGTTTTTCAGGTTTTGATCAACAGACCATCAGCATGGCACACGGATAGTAATCCATACGTGCTCCCTTCTTCTTTTATCTAAATCAAGACTAAGTCCAAAGAAGCTCAACACAGGGCGTCGGCGATCTGATCACTTTCGGTAGATTTTTAACTCTACCTCGGGGAGGCCGTTACACTTTTCGAGGAGGACACCATGGCTGGAGACCACGCAACTTCCTAGTCCTGAAGTGAGCAAACAAAAACAATTTACTTACTTTCAAACGGAGTTCACAAACCGGGAAAACGAAGATCGGGAAGTTTCCAACCTTTTCGACAGTTAGGACAGATCCAGTGGTGCTCCACTTTTCTCCCAAATAACGCCATAAGCGTAAAACGACTGATGAATTTCGTTCTGTGCGGAGATTGTAAAACGACTAATCGCGTCTCTTCTGTGTTGAATAAAATTAAACCCATATTGTCCCATAGAAATTGCAAAGCGACCGTTGACTTTTTTTCTGTGTTGAATGAAATCAAACGATTTTTTTTTTCTTATAGATTGTAGAACGACTGACATCAAACGACTTTTGTCCTTAGACAAATTATCATGTTTGGCAGCTGCATATTGAATGTCCATGCCCGCCACTGTCGTTGACAGAATCTTGGCGAGCCCGGTTCTCTAGTGTAGTTGGCTAAACCGGATTGCGCGGAGACCGGGTGACGAACTCCGTGTGGTCCGGGTTTACTCCTGGGGTTAGGCAGAAAAGCCATTTTTCTCCCAGATTTACAATGGAATCAAGGCCGAAAGGTTGCGATATCCATAATACCGAGCCTAAGGGTTAACAACTCATGGCTTCTGGATACTAAAACAAACATTAGTGTCTTGGCGATATGCATCTATCTTGGCATTGACGACCTCACTCTTGACCAGTACCAGAGCAGTCTTGATAGCTGTATTGTCCGCAGGATAAACTGCACGATAATTGCCCTGATCACCTGCATGTCAGACACAAAGATAGTAATTGGCGATGCACTCAGTGAGACAAATTTGTCTTATCCAGCTGGTGTAGTGCCGGAGTCACTGCGACTGAGCCGAGAACCTTCTCGTTTGCCTCAGTGGCGTGACAAAGTTTGTCAGACTTTGGAAGAAAGACTGGACATTAGACAATGCAAATTTGTTACTGCGTCTTTCTGCTTCTTTAATTACAGATGGCTTATTTTAAGGAAAAAAACCAACAACTCGATAGCTTGGTGGCAAAAGGCAACATTGAAGGAAAGCCGAATTCGCAAACGGATAAATACCTTAATGACCTGGCCTCATACACGACGCGGAGAAGAGCACTGACTTGATCCGTAATACTACTAATTATTTACGATGGCGAATCGTCTACAGCTTATGCTTATCGAGGGCACATGATGATGATTATGATATTTCAACGGAGAGAGAGTCGCTAAGTATTTTTTTGTAATGCGATGGTGGACCCAAAAAAAGTTTAGGAATCTGTTGTCCAAAGTTTTGAATCGGCGTCAGATAGGAATTGTTTTCTAAATGACCTTTTTGATCCAGTCTTTCCTGGCGCCCATTGAAGGTGGGCTTTACCTGGGGGCAGACGTCCATCGGAAAGAAATTCTGCTGTCCATATTACGGAACACAGAGCCGGCATCGCATAGTCAAACTACCTCAGGTGGTGGAAATTGTTACCATCAGGTCGTCAAACACATAAAACGATGCTGGTACTCCCCCACAAAGTGTCCAAAATGGTGCTGGTACTCAGAACAGAGTGTCTATTACAGTATTGTTAAAAACAATTGATGCCTAGTAAAGGTACTGACAGTGTGTAATGTTTGGGACAGGCAAACAAAAAAAAGCCCTAGATGCTATACTTTACTTACTTTCGTCTGTTTCCTTAGATCTACATAATGATCTCCATGGATGTCTGCTCTGTTCGCCCACTTAAGTAAATCAAATAGGACCTTGACCTCATTGTGAGCCTGAAGCTCCAGCTCGGAGAAGACATTCAAATATGCAGCGGAGACCACAGTTGCAGCCAGCACAACAAGAACACAAGGAACCCTCATAGTCATCTTACCTGCAATTGATGCTTGTTCAATATATCTGGCTTTATTTATGTTGTAGTTGCTAGGAAAACAGCCCACATAGTTCTATGGTCTGCTTCAGCTGGGTATCACACAAAGTTAACAGTGCTTGAGATGTAGTTCTCGTACCAGCAGATAATTTCCATATCTAGGCTATCATGCGAATGTGGCCTGGCAGGGCTCACAAAGTACAATATTCGCTGTAGCTTAAGTATTAGATAAATGAACACCTGATGCTTTAGTCTGAATGTTGAGGAAGATTACAACAGCTAAGTAAAATCCCCACCCACACCTGTGTCCTCGGGGCCCTCGCGGAAAGCAAAGAGGGGTAACACTACATCGTACCAGGCATGTCGTAAGAGGCTACTAAGGGTAGGATTGGGCTTGGATTTGACTACCTCATGTCGATCCCCGAGTTTGGAGTCACGTTGGCCGAGCTGTTGGCGGGAAAGTGCAATTTTGGCGGGAGGCGCCCCCTGGGTCCCAGTGTGGGTCGGGGTCGCAGAAGAGGGTATGAGTAGACAGTCCCGGTCCTGGGCTTTCCATAAATGTAACTTTTGTAGAAACAAGTTGGATAGTTGTCGAGAAATAGCGCCCGGAAGTTTGAATAAAGGAAATAGTGTACGCAGCACATGGTTTCACGGATCGCATGCCTCCAAGTCATTTTGGCGGGATTCGTATGTCGAGTCAGCCTTGTGCTCGATTTAAATTTGGAGAATGGTGTCACGTCGTCCGGGACCTGGGCTGTCTGTAGACACCTTGACCTTGATTGGCACTCATATGGATGACCTTGACCTCTGGGTCACCTTGTTTTTCAATACATATTGAGGTCAATGGGTCAAGATAGGGTCGTAGTCATAATCTGATGGCATCAGTCGATGCAACGTGACCTCGGCAACAATAAAGGTCATAGGCACCGGTCACGTGGCGGTCACGGTTCGGGACTTATTCAGGCTTTTTTTTTCTTTTAATCAGGGTCGAGCGTGGCAAGGCCCCGTCGTCGACGTTGTGGCTCGATTCAAATTCCGCCGGCTTTGGCAGGTTCCCCCGGACCCGGTCCGTCCGAAAAGTCCACGAACGTGACAATCGGTCCATAACTTCACGTCGAAAACGGGGCCGAAGTCATTTTCGGCACCAGAGTGGGTTTTTCGAGCGGCCGGCGCTGGGCGCGGTTCACGACCGTGGCGATGTAGGACCCACGGGCAGACGGGGTCGAAGGTCCAGACCGCGTGGTCAAAAGATCCCGGGGTCAAAAGTTGGACTTTTTGGTCACGTCACTTTTGTCCAAAAAGTGCTCCGAGCCGATTAGCGGCTTGGAACGCCAAACAGGGCGATCTGATGAACGACTTTAGGCGCAATTTGGTCAACTTGTCACGTTGTGAACCGATTTGAATTCTGAAAACGGGGTCGTGTTCTCCGTCACGTGGGCAGTCGGATGACATATTGACCTCAGAGACTCGACCAATTTTTTACCTTGATATCGAGGTCAAGGACATTTACGCAATAAACATGGCTTCCTGGGTCCGGGTCACGTTCGAGGCGGGATGTTAAGGGTGGATCGGATGCGCCGTGACCTTGCGCGACGAAAAGGTCATAACGGCCGACCGCGTGCGAGGTCATCTTCGTGACCTTTTGGCGCCCCAAAGTTCGCGACCTCAGACGATTGCACTAGGAGGCGTGGCGCGCGGGAACTTTTGGCGGGATCGTTACCGCCGGTCACGTTGTGGGTCGATTTAAATTCCGACGATGGGGTCGGGTGGATCGTGGCCAAGGCTGTCCGTGGAGACCTTGACCTTCGAGATAGCCATGCTCCGTGACCTTGAGAACTGAGGCGCGGGAACTTTTGGCGGGATCGTTACCTCCGGTCACGTTTTGGGTCGATTTGAATTTCGACGATGGGGTCGGGACCCATGCTGTCCGGGGAGACCTTGACCTTCGAGACGGGCGTGGTCAGTGACCTTGCGACATGTAGTGCGGAACTTTTGGCGGGATCGTGACCGCCGGTCACGTTGTGGGTCGATTTGAATTTCGACGATGGGGTCGGGATCCAGGCTGTCCGGGGAGACCTTGACCTTCGAGACGGGCGCGGTCAGTGACCTTGAGAACGACCGGAAACACCTGATCACAAGGCTGGCAGGTAAGTGTCTTAGCCCCAGGTGAATATGCCTAGTACGGTCTGATGATAACAATAGTATAAAGGCAGACCTACAAACACTTGAGGTTAGCAGCTGGAAAGAGAAAGCTATTGACAGAGATGAATGGAGGTGGGTGATGAATTTGCAACAGTGAACTTGTAGAAGTCAGAATTCTGAAAGAGAAGAATGAGTAGTCTGATACGGTTCTGAAACACTTACTGACTTGATACTTGATGATGATTTAATTTTTTTTTTAAATATATTAAATGCTCATGAATGTATACTAAATACATACCTACATAGAATGTGAATGTAAATGTTGGAAAACTATCCTTTAACATGTTAGATGCTGTGCATAAATGAACTGTGTCAGTTATAGGCAGCTGTTACTGTCACTTGCTCTATCACATCACCCATTTAGTACCAGTTGGTCTGCTGCACCATATACCCAGAACACCACAGGCTCTCTAGTCACCTTTAATATTGGAAATGTTTGATGAATCCTTCCAGAATAACATCTATCATATGGAGTATTACTGTTATATTACCAGCTGACAAGAGTAACACGAGGTCATGAATAGAGCGCACTTTGGCTATAAAACCCGATACAGCAATCTAGCTGGTGAAAATACAGCTAGAGAGAATGTCAGAAACGAAACACGTTGGAGATTTTAATACTACAACAGACATGTTTGATAGATCCCTCCAAAAAAACATCTATGATAGTATATATGTTTGATGGATCCCTCCAAAATAAAATCTATGATAGTATATATGTTTGATGGATCTCTCCAAAATAACATCTATGATAGTACATATGCTTGATGGATCCCTCCAAAATAACATTTGTGATAGTACATATGTTTGATGGGTCCCTCCAAAATAATATCTATGATAGTATATATGTTGGATGGGTCCCTCCAAAATAACATCTATGATAGTATATATGTTGGATGGGTCCCTCCAAAATAATATCTATGATAGTATATATGTTTGATGGGTCCCTCCAAAATAATATCTATGATAGTATATATGTTTGATGGATCCCTCCAAAATAACATCTATGATAGTATATATGTTTGATGGATCCCTCCAAAAAAATAACATAGTATATATGATGATGGGTATATCTATGATAGTATATATGTTTGACGGGTCCCTCCAAAAAAACATCTATGATAGTATATATGTTTGATGGGTCCCTCCAAAATAACATCTATGATAGTATATATGTTTGATGGATCCCTTCAAAATAACATCTACGATAGTATATATGTTTGATGGGTCCCTCCAAAATAACATCTATGATAGTATATATGTTTGATGGATCCCTCCAAAATAACATCTATGATAGTATATATGTTTGATGGGTCCCTCCAAAATAACATCTATGATAGTATATATGTTTGATGGGTCCCTCCAAAATAACATCTATGATAGTATATATGTTTGATGGATCCCTCCAAAATAACATCTATGATAGTATATATGTTTGATGGGTCCCTCCAAAATAACATCTATGATAGTACATATGTTTGATGGATCCCTCCAAAGTAACATCTATGATAGTATATATGTTTGATGGGTCCCTCCAAAATAACATATGTGATAGTATATATGTTTGAGGGGTCCCTCCAAAATAACATCTATGATAGTATATATGTTTGATGGATCCCTCCAAAATAACATCTATGATAGTATATATGTTTGATGGGTCCCTCCAAAATAACATCTATGATAGTACATATGTTTGATGGATCCCTCCAAAGTAACATCTATGATAGTATATATGTTTGATGGGTCCCTCCAAAATAACATATGTGATAGTATATATGTTTGAGGGGTCCCTCCAAAATAACATCTATGATAGTATATATTTTTGATGGATCCCTCCAAAATAACATCTATGATAGTATATATGTTTGATGGGTCCCTCCAAAATAACATCTATGATAGTACATATGTTTGATGGGTCCCTCCAAAATAACATCTATGATAGTACATATGTTTGATGGATCCCTCCAAAGTAACATCTATGATAGTATATATGTTTGATGGATCCCTCCAAAATAACATCTATGATAGTACAGGTGCTTGATACAATTCTCTTGTCTAACAGCTCCAAAAACCCACATATGCTTGCATGTTTGTGACAACCCTGAACTTTCCATCTGGAGACTAAGCCTTTGATGATTGATTTCTACATGAATGAGGTGAGCACTTAGTGTTTTGTGCATTTCTACATGGGTTGTAAACTGGGTTTCTGGGGCCTCGGGGCCTTGAGTGGCAACAGGACAAGAATAGACACACTGAGCCATTAACAAGTGTGTCTTAACAAGTGATGAATGAGGTCTTTGCTGAAATCAAATGTGCTGGGCCGAAAGGCACAGATATCGCAGCCAAGGTGTCAATCAATTTTTGCCAGTCACTCTTTAACCTTTTCACCCTACCAGTGCTCAAAAAGTAAATAAACCATGAAACCATCTTTAACAAAAACATTACTATTACACAGGCCATTAATACATTTAATTACAAGAAACAAATTATCTACATGAAAGATTTTGTTGTAAAATATGTTCAGACCTGTGTAAAGACGATTGTCAGTAAACACAGAGTAAAGCATCAAATAGAACACATTCTTCGGGGCTTAAAAACCAGAAGAAAAAAAGTGTGTATCAGGTGACTTGTGCCATGACCTCTGTCACCGAGTCTAAAAAAAAATTGAATGTCACCTGGCTTTAAAATGTCATCTAGTTAGTTAGTTAGTCAACAGGTCTTCCTCAAATGCAATCAGTCCATAAATGCTAGGATCTCCTCAGTTAATTCCGCAGTGTGTACCAGCTGACC